TAAATTAGTGTTTGCCAAAGCCATGGCATAGAAGGTGTAATTATTGTCTACGTCTATGGGCCAGCTTGCTCTCACATACAGAGAGCAATTTGGGGGAGGTATGAATTTCCCCACTGGATCTATTATTATTATTATTATTATTATTAATAATGATAATATATAATGCATATGTATATATGTACACACATCGCAGAGATATAGCGATATAGCAGGGGGCGCGACAGCTGAACCGTGGTATAGCAGGGGGCGCGACAGCTGAACCGTGGTATAGCAGGGGGCGCGACAGCTGAACCGTGGTANATAGCTGAACCGTGATATAGCGGGGGATCACTGTAAACCCGTGTGACTTCTTAAGAATCACTTCTTGTTTATCCGTATCAGCATAATTTTCCTTGGTCTCTGTTGACAATTTCTACAGTAACACGCCACTTCAGTAAGAAGCCTCACCAGATATTCTATCCATATAGGGACTGTATTTAAAAAAAAAACACTATTAAATGCTAAATGAGAAATTGCTTTAAAAAAAAAAAAAAAAGTACCGTGACAAGTTTATTTTATTATTATTTTTGTTTGTTTGCCGTGGTACGAGCGCTTCAGGTCGGACAACATTATACCAAGTTACAGCCACACACCTCGTCGAGGTTCATCCCTTACATTTTTGATTCTGAGAGTAACTGGTAACCAATCCTGAAGAGCAGGAGTAATGTGTTTTCTTTTTTTTAGTACTCAATCATTTTTTGGTAACCATAAAATACATAATTACACAAGCAATCTACCTGAGGAGGAAGCAGGCTTGCTGGAGGTCAGAGCTGGGGTGGACTGGTTAAGGGGGGTGGAGAAGGCTGGCTTAGGGGTGGAGGTGACGGAGAACTCCCGGGCGACTTGGGGAGCTGGTCCTGGGGTGTCCATGGTCAGGAACCTGCGAGGGGGGGTATTCCTGACATCAGGCAGACAGCGGAAAACGGGAAGAATGGAAAAGGGACGAAATGGCAATGGTGCCACCTACCGGCCATTGAGGTTCACCTTCACCCCCGGTGTGGCAGGTTCTGGGGGGGGCTTAAATGAGGTGGCCGGGGAGGAAGCTGGAAGGCGCTGGGCGGTCGAGGTGGGGGCCATCGTCATCTCTGAGGGTGGCTTGGTTGCAGCAGGGAAGGAGAAGGCTGCATTCGCTGCGGTCGTCATGCCAGTCGTCCCAAAGCCACCGGTCCCCATGGTGACTGTCGTCGTGGTGGGGATGGAGAAGAAGGACGGGCCGGTCGAGAGAGATGGCAGTGCGAAAGAGAAGCCGGAGGAAGAGGAGGAGGAAGAGGCGGCCGTCTGGCTGCTGGCAGAGGGGGCCAGAGTAGGGATTGGTGCAGAGCCGAAGGCTGAGGTGAGGGGTGTTGTCCGCGGAGCTGGGGTTGCCATGGGGATCATTGCTGCTGTGGTCACCATGGTGGAAGCTCGGGTCACAGAGGCAGACCCTAAAATGCCAGGTAAGGGACCAGGTCAGCAGTTAGGGTCACATGCCAGCACTTGTGTTACACACGTTTTAAAATGGGGTCTGGTTTAGTAAAGCCTGAATTACAGATCCCACAAGACAAAATCGAGCTAGGTGAAGCTTTCCATTTACTGTTCAACCTACATTCCTAACCTGACCTACGGTTACGAGCTTTGGGTAGTGACCAAAGGAATTAGATCGCGGATACAAGCAACAGAAATGAGCATGGTAATTGAGGTCCAGAGGGTAAAAGTTCAGACCGGGATTATGTTTCAACCAACCAGTTGTGTACTCAGTGACTGACTCTTTATGCTGAACTGGTTGACTGACACAAAATCCCGGTCTGGACTTGTACTCTCTTGACCTCAATTACCCAACTCTGGAAATGAGTTTCCTCCGCAGGGCGTCTGGGCTCAGCCTCTATCAAGGACCTGGGCATCCCTGCGTAGACTGCTGCCCCGCGGCCCAGGGCCAGAAAAGCAGCGGAAGATGGGCAGGCTGATTTTATTTTTAAATGAGTGCTAATCATGCAGCATTATAAAACCATGCAAGGTGCAATCATATATGGCACTGAGGAGGATGAATCTGCAGGAAGCGGACGGGCCGGCACTGACCGGGACCGGGCAGCCGCTCCCCCTCCAGGCTGAGGGCGACGGGAGCCACAGACAGCTGCTTCACGTCTCTGTTCTGGTTCACCAGTGAGAAGGGGCACAGCACCCCATCAGTGGACAGCAGCATCAGTGTGGGTGCAGGGGGCAACACGCAGTCGTCACCTGCGGGGTGGGGTGGGCAGGGGCAATGAGGCAATGAAAACTTTGCACCAAATCAGGAATGTTTATAGATCAGCAATTCCCAATCCAGTCCTCAGGGACCCAAATACAGTCCACGTTTTTGCTCCCTACCTGGAGCTGGGAGAGAGCAAAAATGTGGACTGTCCAGCAAGGAGCTGGGAGGGAGCAAAAATGTGGACTGTCCAGCAAGGAGCTGGGAGGGAGCAAAAATGTGGACTGTCCAGCAAGGAGCTGGGAGGTAGCCATGATTGATATACACAACTTAGAGGTACTGGTGACTAAACATGTATTTTTAAACTACAAAATACATTTAGTGACCATTAAACATGTCTATGGCAAAGACTTGTGTACGTTTCAGGACAGAAGTCAATCATGCTAACAAAGCATAAGTGGCCCAGGAGACCCTGGTGCATCTGCACTCTCCAGGCAAGAATCACACCCTCCACCCACCCACCCACAGCCCAATACCCTGGGGCTGAAGGTGACACTCACTGATGCGGATTTCGTCTTGGCTGGTGTAGTCAATAGCGACCCCTACAGGCAGGGTGTCGTCATTGTTTAGTGTGACGGGCAGTTCTGCCCTGCTTGCGTCCTCCAGCAACCACAGTTCCCAGTTTGTCTAAGAGAAAAGGCCGACATCTTTAAGCAAATCATTATAAGCATTAAATAAGTAAACGGCAGTTCATCTTAGTTTAATTTAAACAACAACTAAAAGCAATTTTAATGTCTCTGGGGTACTATTATGCATTTACTGTGTAAAACCATTAACTGCCATATCCCAGCCACATTTGAAGAACACATTGTGAGAAATAATTCATTAGTTTACTCCAGTAAGACTCTCCTTTCATCCTTTTTAAGAAGTTCAGTCCAGTTGCAGGACAATCCTTTTCTTGCTGTGCAAACCACTGCAGTCAGACCACCACATACTTAAAGGAGGAAGGCTTACTTATGTCCCTGCCTTATATGAGGCTCTTTTAGCCCACCCAGAGGTTACACACTGTGAGGTACCTTGTCCTCCTGTTTGGCGATGATGCTAACTTCAATAGAACCAGCAGATGCAGCCAGGACGATGTCCCTGTCAGGAGAGCAAGACCCAGCGAGTCAGTCGCAGCACAGCACCGTGACCCCTAACAAACTCAACGGGCGTGTTGCGTTAGCCAGGCCTCACCAGTCCTCGATGTGGCTGAGGAAGTAGTGATGCTGTCTCTCAGTACAGGCGCCATAAACCAGGTCGTTGAAGTTCAAGTATCGCTCCTCTCTCTTCTCATCTTTTTTCTGGATGGGACACAGGAAGAGGGGGACTGTCAGGACAGGGGCAGTGAAGTGAACTTAGACATCAGGCGTTGATGCAATATGAGAGCTGCAATTGCTTATTTCGAAACAAAATTCTCCAAATAATTCTCCAATAACGCTGCAGTGTAAGAAAGGGTAAATACACGGTACCGTGTTATCGAGCCAACAAAACAATGTTGTAATGATCTTTATACTGGTGTAAAACTATGTTGTATTGGTCAAAGTGTCAGCTTAACCATTCCAAAACCTCACCTAAAAAAAAAACACACTCAATTTTGCAACATCATTCCAATTACCAATGTATTTTTTGACTCAATCACTACCCCACCATATGCGGCTAATCAATACCTGATTGAATCATTTAATTAAGTAGAGATGCATCGATCCGATATTCGGATCAGTATTGGCGCTGATCCAGACCTATTTGACTGATCGGGTATCGGCCATACTTGACCGACTTTGTACAATCAATTGCACAACAGCTTTCCCATTTTAGACGTGTTTTTTGCAGAATTCAAAATGAACACCAACGCTGCCACTCATTTTTTTTTGGCACTCAGTGGGTGTGAGCGCAGTGACTTTCGCCTGCTGTGATGTCATACGCAAACCCCTTGCAGTACGAGAAGTGTAAGAACATCAGATAAGAGGGTGACAATCTGGGGTTAGTTTATGCTTTTAACAACTAGTAGTACAGTGATTTGCAATCTTTGTAAAAACAAAAGGTGTGACTGGTAGGAGTAGCGTTTCATGGAAAATCCCACTAAACAAAGCAAATGTAACTGTGCGAGAACGCAAGTAATATGAAATAAGCAGTGGATGATTTGGGAGTCGGTAGATTGGGCAGCTTTGCGCAGTCGCTACAGCTGGTGATACACGAGGGGCTGCGATTGCATCGAAGTGTAAGTGACGCTGCTGCCAGTGGCAGAAAAACTGTGGGGCATTTTAAGCTTTCGTCACTTGCGTATCCTCGCTTGGAAGCTATTCAAAAATTAACTGCAAAAGCCTCAAAAATGCGTAAAACAAGATGTACAAACAAGGTGGAATCATACGTTGTGTGCGTTTCTAGTATCCTAATTAAAAATATTTTGGTAGACATTTTTTCCATCTGAATTTACTAGTTTAAAAATATTAACATATAAAGCATTAATATTTTTTTATCATACTAAAACATTAAAGCAAAAAGAGCTCTTCTATAGGATTCTGTATTGGTATCAGCAGATGTGTATCAGAATTAGATCGGAACCGAAAAAAATGTGGATCGGTCCATCCCTATGATTAAGTTAAATTTTACCTACAGCTCAATTAATTAACAAATACTTGGAATGGCTGAGGTGCCCCTGAGGAGAGGTTTGGGAACAGAAGCAGTGTTCTTCTAGCCATGCACCAATCATATCAGTGAATTTTTGGAGTGAAGAAGAAATTCTCGTTTCATTTTTTTTTTTTCTTTCAATTGCGTTACCGTTAATTTGTATGTTTCTTTCTGAGCAAATATGCACTTATCAATGGTAAATGGATTGCATTTATATAGCACATTTTCTACTCCTACAAGCACTCAAAGCGCTTTACAACTTTTGCCTCACATTCATCCATTCACACACCCATTCATACTCCACTGGCAGAGGCTGCCACGCAAGGTTCAGTGTCTTGCTCAAGGACACAGGAGGAACTGGGGCTCGAACCTACAACCCTCCGGTTGGTGAACGGTACCACTACTCCTACAAGCACTCAAAGCGCTTTACAACTTTTGCCTCACATTCATCCATTCACACACCCATTCATACTCCACTGGCAGAGGCTGCCACGCAAGGTTCAGTGTCTTGCTCAAGGACACAGGAGGAACTGGGGCTCGAACCTACAACCCTCCGGTTGGTGAACGGTACCACTACCTCCTGTGCCACCATCGCCCCTAATAACCCAGATAAATAGCCTTAAACATTTTCTTTGACTGCTTGAGACTTTTGCACAGTGCTGGAAGCTTGTTTTACACTTGTAATACTAAATGGCTTTTTGGTTCTCACCCGATTTTTTTCTTTAATGCATCTCCATACACTTCAACATAGCCAGGAGTAATATTTACTGTAATCATTGCAATCTCACGCTGATATTTGAGTAACTTGCCATGTGAAATATTTTAGTGTGAGCAGGCAATGCACTAAGGTCAGCAGAGGGCGAGAATGAGGGGGACGGGACCAGTACTCACAGGAAGGGACACCACCACCAGCTCCGGGGGCGTCTCCAGGGAGCCGTCGGCTGCTGCATACACCACAGCGAAGACATAGGTGCTGAGCCACAGGATGTCCAGCACTGAGCATGAGACAGTGGGGGAGGGGCATCAGTACACCCAGTCATGTGACACGGGTCCTGAAGCTCAGGTATTCCTGTACTTCACAGCATTGCCACGCCAGTGCCATCACTAGCGGACGAAACATACCTTTGACTGGGTTGTCCGAGCTGTAGAAATTTGGACAGGGGATGACTTTCTTCTCTTGGAGACTCTGTACAAACAGGAAGGAGGGAACACAGTGAGCTCACCGCGGAAGAACAGCTCCCCATCAGCCTGGGTATTCCAAAGGCATTCGCTCGGACTCACGGGGGTGTACTGGATCACCGTGGCGTTCAGCTTTCCTGCAGCCACCTGCTTTCCTTTGGGACTCCAACAAACTGTGCATTAGGGGGAGGGGACAACCAAAAAAAATCATTCATATTTTCCCATACAAAGGACAACTATGAGAATACCTGAAACTCCCTGATAGTATATAAATATATACTAGCTGCCGAAACTGGATGATTAAATAGTAACTGGAGCAACAGTTGAATAAAATTTGGCAATCTCTGAAAATTGGAAGTGGTCCCAGTTTTGGCCACTAGGGTACTAATGGAAAAAGTACATAAATGAAAACAGACAGTATTAGGTATTTGTTTTAATAGTACTACACAACACTGAGCCCGGATTAAAAGACTAAAAGCCTTTATTGAATCACTGTTTTATCTCTTTACGAAAACATTCACAAATGGACATGGTAAGCGGGACAGAGCGCCATCCAGTGCTTACCACAGGTAATGCCCACGGAGGCAGGCAGCTTGGCCTGCACCGTGATCTTATCTGTGACGTCCAGCACCATCATACTGCCATCTGAGAGACAGGCGGCCAGTACCGAGGCCTGTACCGGGTTCCACTTCAGGTCCTGCACCAAGGCTCCTGAATCGGTGACCGGCGCAAAGGAGGCGAATGGCAACTTCTCAGGTCGCGCCTGAAGATGCAGCAGGGACAGTGGTGTGAGACTGTGGTTCGGGATTAGTCAGCCAGTACCGGAGAACATCATTTAAAGTAACACAGTCTGGTTCACCAGAAAAATAATACACACCAACAAATTAAGTATTATAAAAAGCTTAGTTTTCTCAGGGGCAGGTACCTCATTAAATAAGGTCCGGACGTCATAGAATGAGAGCAGGAGACCACTCTCGTCAGACATCCCACAGACGGCAAGAGTGAGTTCGTCGCTGCTCAGGGCCAGGTTGTGCATGGGCAACTCAACAGTGACCTTCAGCGATTTTACTCCCTCCACTGGGATGAACAGAAAAGAGAGAAAGGATGCACCAGTTTAAGGGGGTCAGACCCAGCTGGTTTTGAGTGACACATCATGAGACGGTCAATCCTACAGTCGATATAGGCTACTTTACATCTGATGGAGGGCACCGCAATGGCTAGGACCGTTACTGACTAGGACTATTAAACAAATGTACAATTCTTTCATTTAGCAAATGCTTTTGAGGGACTTGAAATCAAAGCATTATTTTCCTGGTGTGTGACACACCTCACGACGTTACTTTACCTATTTCGTTGGGATTGCCCTCTACTTTATTAGCGGCCAAGATGTTACGGGTGAGGAACACTTTAAGTGTCCTGTCCTGGCCAACGAACGTCAGGCCGAACTTATTAGAAACGGCAAGCAGGCTGGACCTCTCCTTCGGCAGATCCACTGGGGAGTCGAAGACGCGGATTTTCTTCATTTGCCGAAACTGGAAGTACTGCGAAAGACGGAAGGCAAACGTCGGAGACATTTCACACACAGTCATACGAACTTCGAACGGTCCCCTAAAGTCTCCCTCTGCCTAGCTGAAAAAAATTGCTGCAAGTGAACCTTACTCGGCCACCTAACAACTCATAATAACGTAACAATCAATCAAGTGCAGCCAAACAACATATCAGTATTATATCTAGAAACATGCAGCATTACACAACGGTCTAAACAGCTTGTTTAAGTCATTTATACTGATTATAAATGACGCATTATCGCAGCATAATGAAAGAGGCGCGAGGGATGTGACGCTGATAAACAGCGCTTTAACGAAAGCAAATTTTTGCTCCTGTTTTATTAAACTACCTTCATGTCCCTTTCGGGGACAGAGTCCGGATCGTCACTCATCTCGAATAAAGAGGCTCAACTTCCGATAAAGGAAACAAGCGTCCTAAAATATAGTAATAAAAGAACTTCAGAACAAACGCACGCTTTGCCCGCACTTTAGAAGCGTACGTACGTTAAGCTACATTTCGCGGCTATGACAAGTGACGTTACGTCTTGGCGTACGGTCGCCTCGTCCTACGTCATAACCGTCTCAGAAAGGCAACGCAGTCGATCGCCGAGCTGTGAGTGGGGTGAGAATTTAGGCAGTGCTCTAGACACAAATTAATCAGGCGTACAAGTCCCGCATAAGATAAAACAACAAATATTAAATGCGCTATGTACAACAGTATGAGCAACCTTCCAAGGGACTGTATTAGTGTTTTCTGTCAAAGTCTCAGACTGATTCATTAGAGTGGTACTGGTGGCCTAATGGTTAGGAATTTGCACTTGCAATTCATCACTTAATTGCAATTGGTGGTTTGAATTCCTGACTAGCAAGATAATGCCCCCAAATACTGCTCCCCGGGCGCTGAATTAGCTGCTCCCTGCTATGTGATATGGCTTAAATGTAAACGGTGCATTTTGTTGTTGTGCTATGGTTTGTCAAGAATGACAACTAATCCTAAATTTCCCCCTAATCAGGTCGTTACAATTCCAAAGTGTGATAAATTTGCCATCAAACGACTGATGATGCTGTGCCTCTCAAATGTGAGCTCCATGAAGCAGCTTTCTGAAGATGAGAAAATAAAAATAATTGACTCCTACAAAGCATGGGAATCATATGAACATATATCTAAATGCTACGTTTTTGGTATCAGATTCATCTTTATTTCTTTTGATGTAGGTAGTGCCATGACTTCATTAAACACGCAATCTAAAAAAGATATTTTATATATAATACAAGTAAAATGGAGGTGGTTAAAAAGAGATAAGGTGATGCCTGAAATATTAATAAATGGATGTTAAGCAGAATTGTTGAAGTCAGCATGTGATCTGGAAGACCAAGAAACATCTCTGAAAGAACTACTCAGAAGCTGATCATGAAGAAAGAGCAAAGTACCTTGAACAACATACCTTGAAATCACTCAGAACCATCTGTCCATTTCCTGAAACCGCTTATCCCGTTCAGGGTCGCGGGGGGGCTGAAGCCTATCCCAGAGGCTACGGGTGCAAGGCAGGGAACAACTCAGGTTGGGGCACCAACCCATCACAGGGATCACCCAGAACCATTTAAAGGAAGAATGATTAAGGATTAAGGATTTGAAATGCCTTCTAAGTCCCCAGAATTGAATATTATTGAAAATTTGTGGGTGAATCAAATGTGCAGTAAATGCAAGATGACCTAAGGGTATTTCTAAATTTTAAGCATTCTGCAAGGAATAGAAAAAAATCCTAAAACAGGGAAAGATTCTTAGTAGGGTACAGGGAAAGTCTGTAGGCTCAGATTTCTGCCAAAGAGGGTGTTACAAAGTACTGACTGAAAGATTGCCCAAACGATTACATGTGCCACAGCTGTACATTAAGCTGAAATGTGTCATGTTTAAGTTTCAGTACAGATGTTGTGTTTACATTGTCCCAAACTTGCATACAGCTATATGAAATAGCCATTACACTTTAATTGAAATATTTATAAAGTTCAGTAATGTAAGTGGTAAACAATACATTTGGTATATATGTCACAAGCATATGAATATTTTTTTGCAAAGTTTTCATATTATGCTTTCCATTCCTTTCTAAAGCTTCATTTCACTCCTACTCACTGGATGTGAGTTGTTTAGAAAGTTCTAAATGTAATATAAGTACAACGATATTCATCTTCTCTTACTCTATCCCTGGTAAAATTGGGAAAAAAAAAAAGTTGAAAAATTAAAGAATGACAGGGAGACAGATACTGAAATGATGAGTTTTATTAGAGAGAGCAAATTCATCAGTATTGCATTTGGAAAAAAAATGAACAGGTACTGAAACTACACAATGTCACCCATAACTAAATTAGACAAGGTTTGGTTATTTACTCTCTGATAACTGAAGTAGAGAGAAACATCCCAAATATTGGAGTAAAAGAAACAGGTATTCTGTAACATCAACAGTGGCATCTTGCTTTTTTTTGCTTGCGTTAAAAGGCGCATTTATTTTGTAAAGCTGTCGTTCTTTGTAAAGAGTTCACTCTCCTCCTGCCACGAGCCGCTGCAAATACCGAGACTTCCATCTTCCTGGATGCTGCGGGCCTGCAAAGCTGAGCAAACGCGTCTGTGGTTCTCCTGGTCCACGAGGCTCACAAAGTATGAACTACGAAGACTCTCTTCTGTTCCCAGGGGTTCTGCTCATCTGGTCACCTAGGACAGCTGCCAGTACGGTAGTTCGGGACACAGGCATCTTAAACCAAAAGCTATTAGATTGCCAAGAGCCCAAGATTTTTTGTTGTAGTACTCCAGTAAAATATCCAGCTGCATAAATGGGTAAAACCATAAGTTTCACTGTGCAAAAGCATCAGTCAAGCACAAATAACAATAATAATAGAACTCGTAATTAAATTTGAGTAAATCAGTCTCTACAGTGCAGACCTCCTTATCATTGTTCACAGACTCAAGCAGATGACGATAAACTGATCACCAAAAAAAAATAGTTATAGAAAATTGAGGACCAGAAAAGACTGGAACTGAGTGCCACAGGTGTTTGACATCAAGCATGGGCTTAGCAAAGCATCCCCATCGCAGGAACAGCCTTCCTCTGTAATGCTTAAAGACTCATCTCCTGATTGTCAACGGTCTTGGCCATGTGCCTTTGAAGGTTGTTCTCCCCCCCCCCCATTTTCTAAGCAACAGCGTGAGTGATGGTGAGTCTTCAGTGAGCAGATTCAGCATGCAAAAGCCATCTGCATTGCAGCACACAATGGTGGATGCCACACACTTCAGTCTAGTGGACACTGAGGTCCAACCAACCAGCCTAAAGGCGGCCGGTTCAGTGGGTGAAATTACGCTGGATGACGTCTGCAGTCATTGGCAAAATGGGCCAACGCTCGATGGCATGAAAAATTTATCGTTGAACTGGCTTGCAGTGGACGGTGGAGCGCTTTGCAGCACAAACAAACACCGAGCCGACAGCACCGCGTGACGGAGATCACATCCATTCTCAGACAGCAAAATATACACACATACAATGTGATAACACACGTCAGCATCACTGCCTGAAAAGCCCAGTGAGACGGACTCTGAATTCCCCATCCAGGAATAACAACAAGATCATTAAAAGCGATTTGGTATTGCTGTGTCCTGAGGGGTTTCCCATAACAACAATGAGCCAATGAAGCATCGCGTTACGTTTGCTCTTCCCCTTCCCCTGTGACTGACAAAGGGCTTCAGCCTGGTACCAGGCACATTTACTTAAGTATGTCCGCTTTTACAAAAATTACACATCTTTCACCTGTTCTTTCCAACACTCAAAACCTTCACTCTATGACGGGTAAGTTAGTGCCGTTCTCTGCAAAAACACAGTGGTCTCATTTTGGTGAAAACAACATTTTTATACATTTAAACCCTGTTTAAAACCTCACAACTCTGAAGACATTATAGAAAGGGAACAATGCAGGTAAAAAAAAAACGTCACTACCCCAGTTCAGCGCCAACATTCACATATCATTCTCAAATTCTAGTGCAACATCATCGACTTTTCAATCATCAGACTGAAGTTTTCATAAAAGACACCGTAGCAAATAAAAAAAAAAAAACTTTTTAGTTCGCTACTGCCTACTGTTAATTAAAAGTTTAGAAAGAACAAGCAACACAATGCAGAAAAGGCACACAAATAAATCTGCAGGCTTAAAAGGCCCGAAAAAGAAAGGCAATCTCCAGAATGAACTATGAGTGACCTTGTTTGGGGATGGTTACTCCACGACTGCTTTAGTGTCCATCGCTCCTTGATGTAAGTGCAAATAAAATTTGGTCTGTCTTTTTTGTCAATGCCCTCCCCCATCCCTCAACATTATGATATAAGACTTAAGAAAGGAGACATGCGCGTTAGCACAACCACGAAACGGCATTGAAATGATACATTAAACCAAAATTCAGTTCTCTCTTTGTTGATGAAAGCAATTTGATCCAACAAACCACTAATATGTCTGTTTTAACCCCCAGAGATCTAGCTCCTACGTTGACCTATGAGTTTGCCCATCTGAAAAATACATAATTAACTTCTGTGGCTTTTGTTTCATTGGGTTGGCGTTAAATCAAAGTCTTGAAAGTGCATTCTTTTTGCACTGCTGAAGAAGATGTTTTAAGAACACAGACAGTGCTGCAAAATGTTCTTTGTGGAAAAACAAGCAGGACTTTCTTGTAAATAGAAGTGTCATTTCATCTTATACGAGTTTAGGCCTAAAACACGTCTTTTGGATTTTGTTTAAAAAGGGCGGAATGGCAGCAATTGGATACTGTGGAGAACAGATCTTTCCACAAGTAGATTCAAAATCCAAAAAATATAAGGCACTTTCTCACTCAGCCTTGCACTTTCTCAAAACCATGCTACAGTAAAAAAAAAAAGAACACAACTGCAATACCACCTGGCTCATCACAATATGAAAACTCGAGTCACCGTTAAAGGGGAGTGCGGCCTCCCGTTCCGGACAACAGGTAACTAACTACACAGTACACAGAACCTGCCCCGACAGAGCCTCCCCTTTAAAATAACACTGCGTGCAGATTACCTTCCACATCTGGGCTGGAGCGGACTGCAGGATTGGTATGCAAAACAGAAAGTGCAAAATATTAAACTATCTGGGTAAAAATACAGCAGGGCTGATATTGCCACTCGCTGAAGGTTCGGGACATCGAGGGCCGGTGCTTTTTAACAACGGAAGACACTTGGCAGCCATTTCAAGGCTGCTACACAGACCCGATAACTGCAAATGGCTTCATTTAGAAGGGAGGGAGGTCCATTCTTCCATCCTTTCCAAATCACCACTGTTCCCATAACCACTCAGAAACCAGAACTCTTAATGAGTATGGCTCTTCTGATTGTTCTCAGGCTGACAAACCACAACCTCAGACTGCAAACACCTCTCTAAAAAAAAATCACAAAGATTCCTGTAAACAGTTTCTGATGCTTTTAGTGCAATTAAAACCCTGCCACTCCATTTCACAGAAACAGGACTCTCTATAGTTCCCAATCAGAAAAAATCCGGAAATATATTTTAAATAGTATAAAACAGGCGCTTAGTCTGTTATGGCACACATTTACCAAAACTTTAAATAACGTACGTGCTTTTCAAATTCGGAACAAGGTGATGTAATATAATTTTCTTATGTTTCTACGTATTTTCGGACGTTATGAAATGTCTCATCGATTTAGAAATATCTGGGTCTTTGTTGTGGGCTTCCCAAACAAGTAACGTTACGCTTAAAATAACAACCATTCCTTCTCCTACTATTTCAAGATCTTTTTATACATCATCGTGGGGCACAAAATAAAAAAAGGCGACACACGTACGAATGCAGCGCACCTCCTTATTACTGATGCCCCATCCAAAGAAATATATATAACCATCCCAAGAAGCCGGGTTAAGGGGAAAGTAGGCAAAACATCGCCGGTGCTCCTGTCCCAAAGAGTCGTCTTATTGATCCCCATCAAACATCACGTCATCTTCGAGTGCAAATGCGAAAAGCTAGCAGAAGTTACATTGCGGCTGTCTCTTTCCCATTTAATACAATAACAAAAGTTGGCATAGATTCTTGAGCCTCCAGCGTGGATGCGGTCGGCGAGACTCCAACCAACCAGCGCTGCACCCCAGTGACACAGTAACAATACTCCCCGTGTCCCCCATGTCCTTAATTTACCCCCGCCGGATCCAAGGTTTTTGGGGAAAAAAAACATCTGTTCTATAACTCTTAATGATACGTCTTCAGGCAGCAGAAGCGCTTTAGTTGTTTCTGTTTTTTGCTTATGCCGTAGCGGCTTGGTTGCTTTACTTCTCTATTCGTTGGGCATGCAAGCGGTTCGTGCGTGCGCCGGGGCACCGCGATGGCACGCGCCCTTCTCCGTGGGCTACCTGCGGGGGGCGCCGTCCCGCGTGCAGGCCGTGCATCTGAAGGCATCGGGAGGAGCGTCCGTGCAGGTGTGCGCTCGCCGCCGGGGAAACACAGGCAATGCGTTACCCTGTCAGCCCTAGGAAGCCCGATTCTCTCCGGGAGTTTCAATCGCACGGTTTCACTTTACTTTTTAGCAATTGCACATTGCTGTTAAAAATAACCAAGAAATTTCGATTCGCTCTTTTTCCCCTTTAGTTTGGGTTGTTTAGATGTGTAAGATATCTCGTGGAATATTCCGCCTATCAGCTCATATTTTAACATTCAATCGGCTTTCTAGTATTAATCGCACAAAAAATAGACCCCATTTTTTCCTCATCGCTATAGAAAAATATAGCCTCTTTATGTTGAACATTGACTTTAAATTCCCAGGTCACCGATGTGTTTCATTTTCCTTCGTAGAAAAAAAAACCAACTTGATATTCCACGAGCTCTCGTAAATTAGTACTTATTCCATGTAAAGGTTTCCTGGTTTTAAATTTGGGACGGTTAAAAGTACCAATCAGGCAGCGCCAGTCATGTATACGTTACTGAAACTGACAGGTGCGCTTTTTCTTAACGATGAGATAATGAGCTTCCCTTTATCAGTAGTGCTGAGTCAATGCATGCCCTGTCTAGCAATGCCTATGTCTGCCCTGCGAAACTGTGTTGTGTCGGTGTGTGTGTGTGTGTGTGTATGTTCTTGTTTATGAAGCTCTGAGGGAGGTGGGGGGGTGGGGTGATGTGTCACTGGCCATTTATCCGCAGCACCCCCTCCTCGAACTCCTCTACTTGCTGTCCCTTGGGCGTGGGAGGCTTGCCACCTCCCGCCAACTCATTCCTGGGACCGAAAGGTGCTGCCGCCGTCGTCTCTGAATTCTGCAAAAGGGGTTCCTCCTCCTCTTCCTCCTCCACCGCCTCCTCCGCCTCCTCCTCCCCGACCTGGGGCCCGCCCAGTTCAGGCTCCGCCCCCGGGGTGGCGGCAGCCTCTGCGCCCGGGCTGCCTGCCCCCAGCTGCAGGTGAGTTCTGAGCGCTTCCTTGCGGTCAGCGTAGAGCTCACGCTCGAAGGCCAGGCCCGATAGTGGCTTGAAGTCGGACTCGTAGGGCAGAGGCAGGCCCACCTGAGCACTGCCCAGCGCCAGCCCCAGGCCCACGGCAGCGGCCCCCACCCGATACACCTCCATCCCGTCGGGCAGCATGGACTTGATCTTGGGAAGCCAGCGCTTTCTGACGCGCCGCGCGTTGGTGCACATGTCCGCCGCAATCACATTCATCTCACTCTCTTTGAAGTTGGGGGCGAAGTTCTGACAGTACACTGTATGGGGGGGGAGAGGAGGCAATTGAGAGGTGATGGTTACTCGCCATGGTGATCACACCCTGTGATCTGACTAGATTTTTTTGTCTTTGTGGTTTCCTTCAGCTGACTCTCACATCAGCAGAGACGGAAAGGCAGCGGGCGGACCTTAGAAATGAAACTCACGTTTGACGGCATTAAGCACGCGGCTGTCCAGAGGCTTCCTACTGGGGTCACTAGTGGACGAGCGGATACCTGTCCCACAGCTATTAGCCAGTGTGTTCCTAGAGTCGGCCACCAGAGGGCAGCGAACACATCGACACACTGTTAGTGTTATACAATACAGTGCTTTTCCACATGCATAAAATGCAATTTAAGGGTGCTGTTCTCATCCGCACAAATAGCGATTTTTAACCCACTTTAAGGCCAATTTTAGACCAAAAGCATTACCAGTCCAAAATAATCACACAGAGGTTGCCTAAATCTATGTAGGCCTGGCCACACTGAGCGGTGGGGTTGTCTCAATACTGCAGTACCCCCAACGCCATTTACCTGTCAAAGAAGGTAGCCAGCAGGCGGCGAAGCAGCACCTTGTGCTTGATGCCCGCACACAGGTGGCAGTTCATCAGCTGCCCTCGGGTCATGAAGACTCCTGTACCTGCAGGAAGAAACACCAGGGAGCACTGACCTCTGGGCACCACATCAAGCACCACATCACCGGCTCGTGCTGCTGCCTCAATCAGAATGTAGTCAAAACCTGACTCATGGGAGTTTTACTTACACAAAAATGTTGAGGGCACAATGAAAAATGATTGCTTCAGAAAGATAACCAATCAAATTGTAGAGGAGGTGGGTTCAAGCAACGAGAGGAGGCGGGACCAAGACATCTAATTGTTGGTCCAGCCTCCTCTGGTTGCTCGGACCCACCTCCTCTACAATCTGATTGGTTATGTCTCTGAACCAATTTTTTTTTCTGCCCTCAGAACATTTTTTGTGTAAATAAACTCCCATCAAACAAAAACTGATTTCTCTATGTTGGGCCAACCTGTAGATGAAGACTAAATTAAATGGGGCCTAGCCTATGTGCCTGTGATTGGAAGGTCGCCGGTTCGAGTCTGGTTTCAGTAGAATAGTCATATGCCCATGGGCCCATGAGTAAGGCACTTAACCCCCAGCTCCATGGGCACCACTGTGGGTAGCTGCCCTTTGCTGCCAAGCTGGCTCTCACCCAGACATGTGTCTGTGGGTCATGGAAAGCAAGCTGGGGTAGGCAAGAAGAGAATTTCCCCACAGGAATCAATAAAGCGTCATTATTATTATTATTATAATAAATAAACTCCATCCATCTATCCATCCACAAATCCATCCATCCATCCATCATCCATACATCTACCCAACCATCATTCATCCATACACCCATCTACCCACCTGTCATCCATCCATCCATCTACCCATCCATCCATCCATCCATAAATCATCATCAGTGCGCTCATAGTGGAAAGGCCTGCAGTGCCTGACCGTGCTCCAATCCACTCAGTCCGTGGAAGCCAGGCCACATGGTTTTTTGCTCTATAATCCACCATAACATGTTCACAGAAACTTATAACATCAGCAGCTGCAGTGAAAAGATGTGTAACGTTTACAGCCGCAAATCCGCCCTCCCTGCCCCCTGATAACCACATCTGGCTGTCACTGTGTTGCCACATCTCCGTGAAGTGTGTCAGACAGCTGTTTTCCGGAACAGTGGGGAGTCGAACTTGGCATGCTGTGCCACACGGCAGCCGTCCCCCTGCCCTCCCCCCCGCGCTCACCTGCCACCAGCTCCAGCTTCTCCCCCGGGTCGCCCTCGGTGTACAGCTTGGGGTGGCAGCGGTATCCGATCTGGCTGACGAGGCTCGCGGGGAGCGCCACCTGGTCCCGGCGAATCAGCACGCAGGAGCGGCTCTCCAGGGACACCGCCATGCCGGCCACATCCGACTTCTCCTGGACTGGGGGGGAGGATTAAGGAAGATGTGAGTCTGGGTCAGTCAACAAAAGTAAAAAAAAAAAAACAGGAAAGCTGACAGAGCACAGAAAAAAATACAGGAAAACACAGGAGGGCCAGGAACAGAAGAGACAAACTAAAGACTGCGGCTGACAAACCCACAGGGACGTGAGAGATGTGAGAATGATGTGAGAATGCAGACCCTAACATGCAGACCTCAGCCTTCAGAAATGCCGGCCAGATTTTTCTTTTAAGTGGTTTCTGGTAAGTGACTGAAAGACAAACTGAAGCAATGGGGGGGGGGGAATTTTTCCAGAAAAATTCAGATCCCAAAGACGGAGTAGTGCCACGTCCTCTGTACATGGGTCCTGTTTTCCTCCAGTGGCACCTTGGCCACTAACAGACGATGGTTTTATTTCCTGCCTCTAACTAGCGGAGGAATTGGCTCTGCGGGGTGTCGCCCTGAGACACACATCCCGCTCCAGCCCGCTTTTTGCCATCCCTCACACGGCTTTTCAGGCCGTCATTCTGTAGCTCCTGTCCCCAGACCAGGTGTTTTTGTCTGAACTGAGGATGTTTCGTGTTGCACCTGTATCTGTGTACTCTGCCCAGCTTCCTCCCTTAGCCCAAAAACATGAGGTTAAGTTTCTGAATTGGTTGTACGGTGTATGTGATGTATGTAGTGTGTGTGCCCTTTGATGGACAGGCATCCCGTCTGTGGTACTTGCACTGGAAAAATGGTTATGGAAGATGGATGGATCGATGCAATAATAAATTGATGAATGGATGGATGTTTGGATGAATGGATTGATGAATGGTAGGATTGGTGGATGGATGGACTGATAAATGGATGGATGGCTGGAGAAATGGTTGGATGAATGGACTGATGAATCGATGGATGGGTGGATGAATGTTGAATGGACTGAAAAATGGATTGATGAATGGCTGGATGAATGGATGGATGGATGAATGGATGATGAATGGTTGGATGGGTGACTGGATGGATGTTAGATGGATTGATGAATGGTTGGATGGTAGATGCATGATGTCAGGTCGCCCGGTGATATTTACTGCTATAAGGGTTCGCTGTTCGCCCGTAGATCTGCCCGTAACCCTCCTCGGTCATGCCATCGTATGGCTCTTCCTCGAACTCCTCGTCCTCGTTCTGGTAGGAGGTGGGGCTGTCAGTGGTGGGCAGACTGGACGCTCCGGGACTGGAGCGCTCCCCAGTGGTGAGCTGGTAGGACTGCATGCCTGGGAAGATGACACTGCCGCCAGCCCCAGTGAAGAAGAGCGAGCTGCCCCGCCCCAGCCGAACCCCCGCTGTGGCCGCCTCCCCCGCTGCCCGCTTCTGCCCCACGCCGGGTACAGAAAGCGGGGGTTCGCACCCTTCCTGCTTAATCCTGCCCCTGGCGCCGGACACGGACATGGACCAGCAGGGCGGGCCCAGTGCCGCTGCCGGGTTGTTGCTGGGGCTCTGGGGCTCGGATCCCGTGTCCTCCATGGCGGCGGTCTGCGAGTCGCAGTGCGGCGAGTTGGCCTTGAACATGAGGTCCATGCCCCGTTCTACGATGTGCTGGATCTGCAGGTAGCCCGCCGTGTACATGACCACCAGCTGCTCGCTGGCCGCCATGGTCAGCTTGCCCGTGTAGCAGAAGGAGAGCAGCTGCTGGAAGCAGGCGGGAGCCACCGACGACGGCAGCTCGAACTGCGCCTTGGAGCTGCCGCTGAACAGGTCGCGGAAGTAGAGGCTGCTAGCGGCCAGCACCGCGCGGTGCGCCTTGAAGGCGTGTCCTTTCACCACGATGGACACGTCGCAGTGCTGGCCCTGCAGCCGCTGCTCATTTAAGCAGCCCAGCACCGTGCTGCCGAAGTTGGGGATCTCCACATGCAGCAGCTGGGACATGGTGGTGACTTTGGGGCTTCACAGGAGACACGGCCAGCTCAAGGACCAACCGCTGCAGAGGGAAGGGGCGGGGCAGGGGCGGGGCATGAGAAGGACAGGAGCCAATGAGGTTAGGCTGCAAAATTTATGCAAATCCTTTCTTTTAGATGACCGTTCTCTAGGCACAGCATCGAGAATCATTAGTCAGGAATTCATTAAAGTTCTGAAAGAAATGCACCACAATCAGTTACCTTATTTCCTCTTTATATAAGGGAAATCCCATAAAAACAACCAGAATCCATGACGGCACACGCCCGACAAGCCCGGGAACGTGACTAGAGTCAGGAGCGCCCGGGACAGTTAGGCGACCGGCCACTAAAGGGGGCCCGAAAAAAAAGTCACGTGTTACATGCGGCAGCTACCAATTCCCCCCCCCCCCCCCCCCCCAACCAAACACACCAGCGTGCCGTCTGCAGAAAACTGAGTCCCGGTGAAGGTACCAACCACTGTACCAAGCACAAACACATTTGCATATTTTCCTGCCCTAAACGAGAGTGTCGTTATCACTCGCAATCGCAAATTTCTCCATTGAGCAAGTCTGCAGAGGGTTTCCAGGAATCCAGACTCTGATATCTCCATCACCCCGCCCCCCCCCCATCCTGTGCACAACCTCTGCCCCAGCCCCTCCTCCCTCCCCCCACCCTTCCCTACCCACCAGGGGATCTGACCTGTACCGTACTGGTCCTCGGAGTGGCCGAAAGTAGCGGCGCATCCTGAACGCCACTGGAGTTAAAGAAACAGCCGCCCGGATCACCTTCCCTCTTTCTCCCTCTCTCCCACCCCCCTCCTCCCACACTACCACCCACCCCAGCCCACCCCCCCCACCATAGGCAAAATTCAACAAGTGCTGCAGCTGGTGAGGGAGAGAGAGAGAGAGGGAGAAGGAGAGAAGGCTGCGTGTCATAGATGAAAGAAGGGGGGGAGGCTTGGAGCCCAATCACTGCTGCATCTATATGTCGCAGGACGAGGGAGGGAGGGAGGGAGCGAGTGAACGAAGGATGGGCAGAAAAAAA